AATTATCTACAACTTTTGTTTGAAACTTTTTTCGATTAAATGCCTAGATTCTAAGATACGACCACTTTTTATCCTTTTTTACCCTTTTTCTCATTACTAGAAAATCTGATTGCAAAAAAATTAGCACCATTCGATTCAGCGTCGTCGAATTACCATTATATCAAAAAGTCACAATCTTAGGAAAAAAAAGGGTAGTTAGCCTCTTTTTGACTTTATTCAATAATAAAATAATCCAATCCTCTATACGTGTATAATTCTAAATGCGTATTATGAGAAGAAAATATTATGGTCCAATTATTACGTGCGCGTGTTCCCACACAGGTAGATTTGTATTGCCTGATTAATCTTAACTCTGATTGTATATTGCACGTTATGTTAAATATGTTTAATGTTTTTCCTGCCGGCATTTATTTAACGCTTTCAGTGCCGAACGCCCTGATATATCGTCGTTCGCTACACTTGCGAAAAGTGCCAACGACGATAATATTGTCGCGTATCTTAGAACTTCTTACTATTCGCATTGCAAGAAAGCTTTATCTCAAAATCAATTTTGAAAACGTTATAAACGGTCTAATTTCATTGCAAAAAAATTAAAAAAATTTTTTTAGGGTTTTATTTCTGTTTTATTCTATACTTTTTGATGCCAAATCTCTGTATACTCTAGAGCAATAAGATAGAAACCCGGGATTAGAGTTTAGAATATAATAGTTTCTTGAGACCGTAATCGCAATATGTTGATAGCTGTTAGAACGTTTCTTTGTTATGACACAATATGATATCGACACGATGAAATAAAAAAGAAAAAAAAAAGAAATTTTTTTTTTAAGAGAAAATACAAAATGGTATCCCACAAGGATCCGTATTAAGTGTTACACTCTTCCTATTGGCAATAAATGACATAACCCAACACATCTATTCTCCTATCAAAAGCTAGCTATTCGCTGATGATCGCACTATTTGCTGCAGGGGCAAAAATATAGAAACCACAGTTGAATTGCTACAAAATACTTTAAATAGCCTTCAAGACTGATCAAACAGGAATGGGCTGAAGTTCTCTACACTTAAAACTCAATACATCTTCTTTACCAAAGGAAGAAACCGCAAAACACCGAAAATCACTTTAGGAAATCAGGTCTTAAATTTTGTTGACAATATCAAAATTTTTGGCTTAATCTTTGACAGTAAACTCACATGGACTAAACATATCAGAAAATTAAGAGACTCTTGCCTTAGACGCTGTAACATCTTAAGGGCCCTAACTAATAAAAACTAGGGTGCAGACTAAACTGTCCTAATCAGAACTTATCAGGCCCTCATTCGATCTAAACTCGACTACGAAGCCATCATCTATAATTCAGCTAGTCCCAGCTTGCTAAAATCGTTAGATACTGTACAAAATTGTGCACTAAGAATAGCATGTGGCGCTTTGAGATTAAGCCCTATTAACAGTATTTTATATCTAACCAAAGAGACTCCGTTCCAGATAAGGAGAGATCTGTTAAGTCTAAGATTTGCTGCATCAATCTCAGCGACTCCTGATAATCCTGTACACAAGAACATTTTCAATACCAAATTCTTTGATATATATCGTGAAAAAAGTCTTCCTCCATTATTGAAATTAAAAATTCATAGGCTATCCAACAAATATAATATTGAAATCCCTAAAACAATACATAGAAAGCTGACAACTACTCTTCCATGGACCTTAAAAATTTCTCCAATTAACACCAAACTAGCAGAAAATAAGAAAGACGAAACCTCACCTACAGTCTCTATAGAACCAATTTCCATGAACTGCTAGAAGAATTTAACGAA